GATTTTATAGCTAGTAGAGTAATGATATTTCCCATTCGCAGGAAAAATTCCCTTCTACGCGAAAAAAGGTAAAGTAATTCAATTCTCGATGAAATGCCTGTGAATGATCCGGTGAGAAAAATGAAGTGNGCAACACAGCGCCAGGCAAAGAGGGTGCCTATTACGCGGCCGTTTTCCGTATGGTCCGATCGAGGCTACATGAGGCGCAGCGAAGGCTATTCACAGTCAGTTCTAATGTGGCTACCGAGTTGTACTGAGTCAGTCAGTGAGTCCTGGAGCTACCGCCGAGTTAGCCAGCAACTAGTCAGTTGTATTGTGACATTTGGAGTGTACTAATTGTGATACTGCAGATAGCAGTAATCGTAAATCTGTAATTTGGGTGATTGTATGAGCGAATGTGAAATAAAATTCGCTACATCGAATACATCGAGAATTTATTTGTCGCGATATACGCCCGATACGCGACAATATATTCTAGTTCCGAGCACTGATAGTCGGTTCTCATGGTGGTATCTTTCAGATGATGTTCGTTGTGGTAACTGAGGAACATTTAATTCTAAACCTCAAGAGATGTTCGATTTACCGCATCATTATCATTTGCATCATGGGTTCCTGGGTGTTCCTACTGAAATTCTTCCCACCATATCTGCACTCCTGGCAGCTTCCGTGTTACTGCGTGAGTGTCCTTGTGCTCAGCACAATCCTATCCATGTTCGCCGGTATGTTCCAAGGCCTGATCACAGCTGGCACATCTCTGAACAAATGTTTCAAGGCGAGGGAGAGCTGTATTTATGTGTAGAGTCATAGAGTTGTTTCTTTGTGCTTTTGTGCCTCTCTCGTGACCCTTCATTGCCGTACTAAAATATATTATTCTTGGTTTCTTACTTTACGTAAGGACGACTTAACAGCTGCATAAGTCAAATGGAATAGTTACTATGAATGATTAAATGAATACACACTTTGAATGTGTTCTACACATTACTGTAATATTCGATTAGAAATCATAGTATTAGATGATCATAGCGAGAAATGTGTATAGACATTACCATTTCATAATTTTTCTCAATGTTTAGACTGAAAAATACAGATAATTTAATATTTAAAGTTAAAAAAGAAAAACTTGTAAAAAAAGGAAATATACCTCTAAGTTTTCAGGTACGACCCACTTAAAATCATGCGAATTACAGTTTTGTACATTACTACACGCATCTCAATTCTTGAGTTTACAGCGAGACATGAGGCAGAGCAATCTCTCAGCACAACTGCTAGGAAATTACAGAATCCTCTGGCTTCGCTGGAGCAAACTTGTTTCACAAGTAGGTAAGTCTCTTCAATGTATTTCATTCGACTATATTCTCGGTGGACAGTCTTGTAGATCCCTGACAGATTCTGCTGATGCGGCTATACGGACTGCAACTGTCGGCTTATTATTAAGCACTGCCATGTCACAAATAGATTTCTCTCTCATGAACACAACAATGATCGAAAATATGCAGTGAACATTTTAACAGGCGTGTTAAGGGTGGTAAATGTAACTAACTTGTTAATAATCATATCGTTCGAACTGCTTACAAGATAATACAGCAAAACTCAACGGGAAGAGAAAACAGGTCATCTTTAGAGCTGGAAGATCTGAATTTACAGGCGCTCCCGAGAATTCATGTAGTAACTTCAAATAGTTAATGATAAGAGATAGATGCTTACCAAAGTGGGTCCTAGTCTCAACGGTTTCTGAGCTATGGGTATTTTAAAGAGAGCTTGACTTGAGAAGGAATTTTTATTGAAAGACTCATTCTTATTACGAGAAAGATTAAAAGATTACATTTTACATTTTACGTAGCTTAAATTGTATATCCATACTGACAACCGTCGGCACGTCTGCACATTCCGGTTCGAGTCACTACGAATGTGTAAACTTAGAATAACGTGCTCTGCGACTTCAAGCTTTGGCCGAAGATTTTCATCTTTTATGTCCTCCTTGCTTTCATGCGCTATGTATCTTACGAGTATATGATCCCGTACAACGTAATCTAAGAGGCTGGGATCAGGTTAACGCGTTGGCCGATCCACATCAAAGACACGGCTTATCCCTCGGCCATGGAGCTGTTTATTCAAATAACATATCACTTCTCTACTTAAGTGCACGCGCACTCCATCATTGTGGTTGTACATATGCAGTGGTTTCCTCAGGGGAATATTCTTCAAGAGCGCGGGCTATCCATTTTTCAAATATCCGGTTTAAATGTCACTATCAGAGGACTTCGTCGAAGAAAAAATAATTGCATTACAAATCTTGAATATAGAATTAATATGGACAGAGCACAGAAGGGCATTGTGAACACATTATGCACAGCTGTGAACACAGTGACTGTGATACACTTCCAGTAGAAGTCGAAATACGGACGGCGAGAAAACAAATATTTTCACACCCTCATAGCAAATGTTACTGAACTGTAACGCTTCTCTTATGAAGCTGATGAGGAGTTCAAACTCTACTACAGCACGACAAAACAATTTTTCTGCCGATTTAACAGAATTTTAAAGCGAAATTTCTGTGACATTCTAAGGATTCAGGGTTCGGAAGGGGAATCTAATGGTTTCTAAATTAGTATAATGGAGTCAATTTTTGTTTCTTTTACTTATACATATTATTTGTTATAATACATAAAAATGTATGGCATTTTATGTTTATAACTGCGAGCTCATTTTTTTCTTAAAAATTATGCCATCCACATGCTAACCATCTATTCGTATGCATTCTTGCAGCCTCGTCTTGAAGTTGTTTATTGAGCGGCTTACCTTGTCGAGGGGTATAGCTGCAATTTCATATTCATGACTTGTATATGGTCTATTGAAGGAACCCAAAATGGTAATAATCGCATACACTAAAATCACGTGACCAAGAATGGCATGGAAGATCACCACGCTGAGAAATGACATGCCCAGGAAATATTTCTCTTGCAGGGTGAGCGGTGGCCCCGTATTGTTGAATCCACTGGTGGCGTTGATTAATTCCACGGTGATAACTTCTGGTGAAAGGAAAATTTGCAACATGTGAACATCGCGACCAGAATTTACTGTCACAGCATGTCCGTCCTCCACAAAGATATACGGACCTATCACACCGAAGCTTCCACACAGCACCAGACTGTCACACGTTCAGCGTGAAGCTGCCATGGATTTGGGTCCGACCAGTAATGGAAGTTCTGTTTGTTAACACACCCATGGCAATGACCATATTATCTGCCACAGTTTGAAGCATGTTTTGTGCAAAAGAAACGTGGTTCGCCCAATCACGTTGATGCAACTCTTGAACAACCATCATCTTTTATGGATGAAAATGCAAATCGAGGTGCAATATTCGTCTCACTCCGATCTGAAATGCTTAATGCAAAAGCATGCTTCATTGGAGAATGACAGGCACTAGTCACTATGGCCCGCCTAATAGTCTCAAAATTCTTATGTGTTCGGACAGTTCATGGGTTTCTTCTTTAGTGCTGAGCCAGTTGATCTGAAGTTTACAATCCACACCAAAATCGTGTTCCTACTGGGAACTTTGCCGTGACGACCCTAATTTAAACGCACACGGAAACGTCGCTGAGTCAGGGTAACATAGACTCCAGTTTCAATAAACGTCTCAACGGCGAAACAGGGTCCAATGTTCCATGCCAAATTAAATGGGGTATCGTTCTTTGAGATTTGGAAGGCCAGTGAGCCCCTTTCCATAGAGTAGTGCCAACTTAAGAACGTTAGTTTATTTTTCCCCTTGCGTTCACATATATCGTATATTTCAGGTTGCGTGATGGGGAAAGTTTTCTGTCTGTACCTGTTGCTTATGCTCCTCTCAATCACCGTCTCGCTGTACGGAATGTGGTCTAGGTTGAAAAATAGGCAGGCGATGATCTTCGTGGAAGTGGGCGCTGGAGTGGTGTGCCTCTTCAGCATTTTAGCCGTGTATTACTTCTGCAACTGTGCTCACTCCTTTTCAAACACAGTAAGCTTCCTTTCTTCGCTACTGCAGTGAAACCTATACAGGTTATTCATGAACTGATATTATTTTAGCTATATGAAGTAGATTCTAGTGCAGGTAATACTTAATTAGAGCCGATCACGGTAGCCGAGCGGTCTAAGGCATGTACTGTCTTCGCTCGCTTGGAAACCGGGATCGTGGGTTCGAATTCCATTCACGGCATGGATGTTTATTTTATGTGTGTGCGTTTTTCTGTGATTGTGTACAGGTAGAGACCTTGCGACGTGCTGATCACCCGCCCAAGGTGTCCTACCGAATGTGTAAGATCTAGAAAAACCGAAGTGAACGGAGAAGTTCATGGTGGTAGGCCAAGGTCCACTGGGGCTGTAGTGCCAAGAAAAAACGTAATTAGCCGTATTCCATATGCAAGTATGCATGGGGAAAGTAGACCACTTTCACTGAACGGGACGACGAATTTCGAAGTTAGTAATTTTATCAAAAGTAAAATACGTCTAGTTTGTGCTGATGTGTGAGTGAAATATAGTATTCTCACCACTGCTCCCAACCAATGACCACCCATGAGATTTACTTCGCTTTCTTCACTACATATTCATTTCATAACATAATGGCGTGATAGCGGAAGTTTACCGAAAAACATTTCTATGTTATTACAGGTGGGAGTTGAAATTCGAAATGGGCTGCAACTTATAGGCCCTTCGGAAGTCGCTGCGGATGTTTCGCAAGAGGTGAGCTAACAACAGCACAGTCTTCATGTAAGAAGCTCAAATGGCCAATATTTGCGATAGGCCTGCATTTATATTCCCTCAAGGTCTGTAATACTGTATGGTCACTAGAATTTATCTGTGTCTGTCCCAAAATAAGCAACCCTCGAACGAATTCAAGTAAATGCCCGATAAATTTATGGTTTTCTGAAGTAATTCATAAGATATTTATATGTAGGCTTTTAGCCATGTAAGTCAGTTAATTTGTCCATGTCTTGTCTATAGATTTCAAAATATCTTGGGAGCTGTTTCAGTGTTAAAATCCAACTGATTCTCCTTGCAGGTGAACATGTTTCTGGAGACGATAGTTATGAATCCCCCTGTAGTATCTATAGCGGGCTTTGCGAATGTTGACAGGGGACTCTTCAGGGCGGTAAGTAGAAAAAGGAACAGAAGTCTGTCAGGAAGGACTTCCGTCAGTTTAATTTGCGTTGTTATTTCGTCAAGTTAAATTAAATTGTGACTCTGTTCTACAAGTCAATATTGCTTGCAGTATGTAATGCCGTATTATTACGAGTAAATTATGAAATGACGGAAAGCCGGAACAACAGAAGTGGAATAGACGTTCATTGCTAAATAACGACTCGGCAAATAGGTTCTCGCCAGTCACGGTAGCCGAGCGGTCTAAGTCATGTATTGTCTTCACTCGCTCGGAAGCCGAGATCGTGGGTTGGAATCCCAAACAAGGCATGATGTTTGGTGTTTGTATGCGATTATTCTGTGTTTAGGTATGGGCCTTGAGACTAGCTGATCACCCGTCCAAGGAGTCCTACAGTCTGTAAAAATGATCAGTGAAACTAAGAAATCAGCCCTATGTTCTAAAGCGGGAGAGAGAGAGAAAAAAATATAGGTTCCCGCGTAGATGAACACACATTCAATAATATAAGAACTACCGACCTAATGCAACGCCGAGGTAAACACACCTTCATAAAATAGATGAACTGTTAGGAAACGGTGTTCTCTGTTGGGGCCGCCCCGATACTGTATAACGAGGAATCAAGACAGGCTGAATTAGAAATGAGGGAGTCTCTTGAGTTGACAGTCCAGAGTGCTGGAGAAAAGTAGACAGTGTGTAATAGTGCACTGTGAAATGAAGCAACACATTTTTTAAGTGTACTATAACTCCTGTCATTAATCCGAAACCCGTCTATATGTCACGCACACTTCCAAATCCGTGACAGTAAACGAAGGGTATTACAGTACATTGCTGGATATTTAAAACCAGCACCCCAATAAAACGTACATTTATTGTTAAGCAAGGCAGGAAACGGAAATTGCCTTGAAAACTTGCGAAGAGAACCCATGCAGTGTTATTGCAGTTCCTGCCATTTCTTCAAGTAATTATTTCTCTTTTTCTAAACGCGGCTCAATTGTATCTCTTCATCAGATTTCATAACTGTACATTTTACCTACTAATATATTAATTAGATTTAATTTTGGTGCAATTGTATTTTCTCGCTGCATAGTGGTTGGCATGATTGTTCTAGCTTTATGTTTTATGGATCTACTTGAGTTCCTTTATTCCATTTCTTGATCCTGCTTGCCTTACAATTGACTGTTGTTCTGTCGAGTAAGCATGTAAATACGCAAAGAATTGAAATGAATCTTTACACAAGACCTTACTCTTCTTTGTTGTAACATATGCGTAGGTCAGTCTGCGAATACACGTCACCTTCCAGTGCTCTAAGTGACACAATGTTTCTGTCTTTCAGTACATGTCTACACTTGTGACGTACATGATAGTGCTGGTACAGTTCGACCAGTCTGAACATTCCAGTGGCGGGTGCAGAGGAAACGAGACTCACCGCTTCACTTGAAAATTCATATAGACCTAAGTTACTGCAGCCTCTATTCGAGGCTTATGAGCGTTTGGTGCAGATTTATAATTTTGTTAACATAATTATTAGCAGCAATAGTAGTAGCAGTAGCAGAAACAGAAGCAATAGTTATAGTAGTAGTAGTAGTAGTAGCAGCCGCAATAGCATTGTTAATATTATCATCATTATTATTGTCACTAATATTGCCTATGGAATCTTACGTATAAACTAAGCATGAGATCTACTACATTGAAAAAAATGTTGCAAATTTTATCCTACAAAAATGTTATTGCCTTAATATGGAATATATTATGTTGCAAAAAATTAATTAGGGCAGGGACTTATGTCACAAGTACTTTGGTTAATTACAAAATTCTCTAAATAAAGTTATCTACTTATATTTATATCAGGATAAATTAAAAATCAAGTCCCTGCTATTCCCTGACATCTGCTAGGTCCATACCTGACTAAATGGGACATGGTTCTGTAAACTTATTAACTTACCGTCAGTCTTCCTGACTATGATATTTTGTCTTGGAATTTTTTGTTCTTAGGGCTTCGTTGCAGAGTTTTTCTTTCTCTTAAATAATGTATTGACCTTTTTCTCCTTTAATATATTTCATGTTGTTCTTGTTCTTCCTCCTCTTTCTCCTCTCTCTCCTCTCGGCTGTCAAGATACAGGCACTTACACTATCTTCCGAGGACCACCGATGGACCGACCTCCTTCTATTCATCACCCAACATTTCTCCTTCACCAGGACATGAATTATATCGTGTCCTTACAAATTCTATTGTAATCCATTCTTCACTCACATCTTGTGAGTTTCTTATGTTATTGACTTGTTCAGTGTTAGCTTTGCTTGATCGGAATACGCTGACTTCATAAATAAACTAAGAAACAGTCTTCTATGCGAACACTATTTCAAAATTTTAGACAGATCTATTCGTTTTCTGCAAAGAACCTAATAAATTATACGCGTTTGTTCTTTGCCATATCGCCTTTGTATCAAACACGACCCCAGACTCGCAACCTGGCGATCCGAAAAGTCTAACATAGGTCAATAGCTAGTGGCTATTGCTAAGATGCGGTACAAATTTCATGTTTCTAAAAGTTACTCATTTCTACTATAAGCAACCTTCCATTATCAATTGTTATTATATTTTAGTATATGAAACCAATTTCGATATTACCATTTTATTAAGGGCAGTTTATCGTTGCCTTCCTAATCTAGGGTTGCAGAGTGTAGAATGGAAAGATGAGTAAGGAAACATCTCGGTTTTTCTTAGAGGTAGGTAGAAGGACCTGGACAAATATCAGTTAGGATATTTGGTGTCCCAATCGAGATTCGAAGTGGCAATCTCCAGAATACATCAAGAGGCATTATCGCAAAAACCAACTTAAACACTCTGTAGAATTCTATGCAAGAAATCTGAGACTTTATCAATTAAACGTCGATGTATCACAGTCCGTCAATAATGCAACTGGTGAAGACAACACCACACGCTGCTAGAGGAAACAACACACAAGCAAGGGGATTATTACAGATTGCAGACGTAGCAAAACAACGGGCAAATGAAAAAGAAAAACAAGCTGCTGGAACAAACTTTCTGCAATATCACATAGATTTAAACAAGTGGACGACGCCCCTTATGGGGAGGAATAGGATTTTACGAAAGATTTCAGTAGAAAAAATTATAATGAATTTTACAATGTAAAAGAAAGTATTGTAAGTGTTTATGTTACTTTCAGTGGGCTGCAACACGGAAACACCTGATAGATGGCTATCTATGGCCGAAAACTGTTGTGTTAAATGTTAGATGGTGAATATTTTAATAATTGTTGCAATATTGACGGACTGTGATAAATAGACGTTTAATTAAAGACGTGCAACAGGATGCTGAAATACAGAATTCCTTTTATCAATATTTCAAATTTCCGTTCATCAAGAAATTTTTCTAAAAGTATATTTTATATAACATATCCAAGTTAAATAATAATAAACGAAATGCAATTATAACAACCGAAGAATTCATAATATCCAGTTAAAGACGCTTCGGTCAATAAGAAGTCGAAAACGGTATTACTCAAGCTGTGTGCAGATTTGCATGCAAAATATATTGCAACCTAAATAGTAAATTGGAAAGCACTTGCAGCAGAGAAATGTTATATGCACCTCACTGATATATACAGAGGCACATCATTCAGTTTGCAAAATCTTTCAGAGAATGCTTGAAAAATGTGTTGAACAGTCGTCTCTTGGTACAACAATCCTGGAGGACATTTTAAAAAGTTTGTTTCAATCGACCTGTGAAATTTGGAGCTAGTGAATATGTTTTATTTTTTTCAACTAAAATAATTCAAGACGATTATTCTTAAACAAAGAGAGGAGTAGGAAAGATAAAATTAAATAAAAGTTTAAGAAAGAAGTGAATGTGCTGATAAATTTCTAATCAGGCAAAGTGCACGAGCAGGCGCCATACTAAACACATAACAATGCTTAATGATATTACAATTCATGTTCGATATCAAGTTCAATTTATCTCTAATTTCGGAAATATTCCA